GGAGGGGAATGAAGGTAGAAAATAGAACAACTGTAATGGCATAATTAATAAAATATATTTTTAAAAAGACTTTATCTCCAAAGACAGTCACATTCTGAGGTACTAGAGGTAAGGATTTTTTAAATATGACTTCTGAGAAGACACAGTCAGCCCGTAACAGGTAGTAATTGAAACAAAGGGAATAAGCTTTCAGGGAATACATGTAAAATGAGGAAAAGGGAGCCTAGAACAGGGTTTGGAGAGCCACCAACATTTAACAGGACGAACATCTAAAATCACAAAAACAGAGTGATAGAAAAGGAACACAGAAAAAACTCTGGAAAAGCAGGAGTGTGTGGTTTCACAGAATACAAAGGCAGGATTGTTCCAAGAAGGAAACAGCTGTCAGCAGAAACCAAATGCTGGAGAGAGACCTAGTAGAAAGGGCAACCATGAAACTGTTGAGCCTGCAGGTTGATCATTGTAAAGAAGGTGTGAACTTTGGCTGAGAAAAGGAGAATGGAACAGTGTAGTGGCTCTAGGTGAATGTGGAGTGGGTGGATGAGCGTGAGTGTTGTTGGGAAGAAGCGGTGGGGGCGGGCGCAGTGCAGGAGAGAGAGGGGACAGCTGGTGAGCACGCCTGAGGTGGAAAAAGAGAAAGGGTGTATAGTTCAGGTACAGGACTAGCCTTGGGTTGGTGTTGAGATAACCTTTTCCATTTGACTAGGATGGAAGGAGGAAATGATGGGAAAGGAAGGAGTGGTTGTGAAGGCAGAGTTTTGGGGGACAGAGAAGATAGTTTGAATTAAACTAAGGGTTAAAGTAAGATTTTGTAAAATAGCACGCAAATACATTTTTATTAACTTTTGTGTTGCTAAATTCAATATCACCTTTGTCTTTGAAATTTCTTGAATAGATTTTCTTCATAAAATCAGCACATTGACACTTTAAAAAGAGCTTAATGGAAATATGAAACAGCATTCACAAAATTATTGTTATTGTATATATACATATATGATTAACATGTTATTGTCATGTTATTCTGTTTCCAGAAAATGGCTTGAATAAAATGTACAGTGTTCTTTCACTACGGAGACCTCTTTAGGAAGTATAACAATGTATCCCTGATATCTGCAGTTAGCAAAATTTCCTATCTTTAATTTTCTGCTTTATGTTACTGTTGAGCTACTGTTTACTACTAATAAACAGGGTAATGGGGAAATGGAAAGTCAAGTTTTATGTGGACATAGATGGCTGATTACCGTCAACTATCACATCACAGACTAACAGGGTCATAGTCCCATTTGCACTTTAGATAATCCATTTATGATATGTTTAACAGTTCTTTTTAGTTTTTTGTTTTATCAGGTCATTGTGCTAAATTTCTGCTGGTCTTCAGAGTATTAAACTGCACAAGAAATCTTCATTTATTGTACTTATTTGCATAATACCTTTGAGTTCATATTCCTCATCTGTAAATTACCTTATTAGCCAGGAGGAAGTTATTTTTCTCATTTAATATAATTATGATAATAATCTGAAATGTCAATGGAATTATAAGATAGGGATAGTGATGAATGATTTTAGTAAAAATTAAACTAATTTGATGGTGAAAATTTTTATCCCAGATTGCATTTAATTATTTACCAACTTAGGTATTATAAGAAGGCCTTTTGGTTCTCAACTCAATTTCTAAATCTGTAGGATAAAAGTTAAAACCTCCTTTCCCCAATACATAGGATGAATATGAAGAATCCCATCTGCTAACAGTGTTGGAAGGCATAGTATAAGATGAAGATATCACAGGTCACCTTAGGGTGAAATATTAGTGATAATGTATGCTTGCAAAGCCCAAAACCTCTTTCTATCAGTTGCTGTTAAATTCTTAAAAACAAATAATATTATATGTTTATTTCTTAATGTCTTTATTGTCTGTCTTCCTCACTAGGATGTAAGTGCCATGTACTTGGGGTTTCGAACAACAAATGTGCACTGTCTCCTACACAGATGTGGGGGCTAGACATCTGAAGTCAAGTTGTTGGCAGGGCCACACTTCCTCTGCAACTTTTTGGGGGGTCCTGCCTTGCAGGTTCCTGATTTCTGGTGCTTACCATCAATCTTTGGCGTTCCCTGTCTTAGAGCTGCACAACTCCAAGTTCTATCCCGTGGCCCTTCTCCCTGTGCATCTCTGTCTCCACAAGTCCATTTTCTTGTAAGGACAATAGTCACCTCGGATCAGAGGCACACCCTATGATCTCATCCTCAGAGTCTATCTTCAGTGACGTGATTTCCAAACCAGGTCACATTCTGAGTTACTGAGATTAGGACTCTAACACACCTTCTTTTGAAGGACACAATTCCACCCATAATAAATGGAGTGATAGCTTGAGAGAAATGTGTGGTGAAAACAACTTTTAAGTACTAATAGATAATGTTTTCTGTTCATGGGAATGATCTAGTGCAGAGGGAAAAACTGATTATACCTTCTCTCTCTTACATAGAGTAAGAGAGAGAAGGTATAATTATGGGAACAAAGACCTTGAATGAACACGAGAGATACATTGTCCCAGTAAAGAGCTGGTCTTAGAAAAAAAGCTTGAAAAGTTTATTTGCAATAATAGGAGAGATGGCAGAGTTTAAGAGTTCAAATAAGGGTGGGCTGCGGAGTTGATGATGGAAAGAGAAATTTTTCTTCTGAGTGTTTATATTTCACCAGTGAAAAAGAAACAAATGTTTCTCATTTGAAATTCAGATAAATGTCATCAGCACAGTTAGCATTGTTCAGGGAATTGCAGTACATATTGAAAAAAAGAAAGAAATATACAAAAGTACCCTGCAGTGCTTGAAACGCATACACTCACACCCCTTTATGATAGGTACTTTCACTGTGCTATTTAGTAGAGTCCTTACAACATTTGGCAAAGGTATTTCCTTCTTTGAAATCCTCCCCTGAGGACATTTTCCTCATTGCTTGTTTAGAGAGAGAGGGAGGGAGACAGAGTCAATGCTAGGGACCTTTGTATCATTTTTTTAGATTATGTGTTTTGGATAATAATCAGCCATTAGAAGAATCCAGGCAAAGAAAACAAATGTCTCCCCAAACACCCTAAACAAAACCCACTTGAACAGTTGTAAAGGAGTTGCACGTAAAAGACACTGTATATAGCACTCTTGGGTTTGCTATGACCAACTTCACCGGTTGATCAAACACTGATGCCTCTTTGTATTTTAATCTGGCTTCTTGGCATTAGTTCAGCCGGAAGGCATTGTCTCCTTTTGTTTTTGTCTCTCAAACGAACATCAATTTATTAGCCGACAGAGGTCTTCACCATCCTTATCAATATGTATGTCAAAAGAAGATTACGAATTTGAAATGTATACTGCTTTTTAATGTTGGTGTTTGGTATAAATGACTCACCATATAAAATGAATTTGCTTTTCTGTATTTAGTTTATCTTTGATTTAAATTCACTCCTAATATTTAAGAATATAAATTATATGCAAGGCATTATTTTTCTGGTGAAAGCAATGAGTTAATTTTCCAAATGTTCATATACTAGAATCAAAATGTCAAATAATAATTGAAGCAAAGATTATATGAAGAAAATAACATCTGTAAGGAGATGATGGCATTTAACCAACTACACATTCATCTGGATGATTTAGTGAAAAGACTGTTATCTTATTATGGGCTTCAGCCAGACCTACCCTAGAGACCAACCTGCCCCAGAGTGATTATGTCTTCATTCTAACTGTAGATTAGAGGGATTAATTGCAGATAATTTTGTTGATGGAATTGGAGCTATAGTCATAAATGTCATAAACGTTGAATTCTATAGTGTAAGCAGTAGCATAGATGCATTAAAAAATGACAGTAATCTAAATACTCTCTCTTTTAAAAACCAGGCACCTCTGAACCTGTTCTAGAAAAGGTTTTCATGCGATCTGGTCTCTGACAGCATCCCACTCCAGCCTTGGTGCCATATCTACAGCAGGGACCAGACACAGTGCAGGAGACACAATATCGCTCTGTGTACCTCTTCCTTTTCTCATCCCAGTCATTCTGCTAATCTCACTCTCCAGCCTTAGCCAAGATGGAGCATGAAGAACCTTTTTCAAGATAAAGGAACAGAAAGGAAACTAAGGCTTATCAGCTTCAACTTTCTGTCTAAATTATGTGAATGACAAATTTATTTTGGCTCCAGGTTTATTTCGAGATTTTTCTGAATTCTTTAAAATTCAAGTTCTAGAATTAAAAAAAACAATGAAGAATAAAATAATAAAATAGTCAGTGATCTAACATATAGTTTACGTTATGAAAGTTGAAAACTTAAACATAATATTGGTAAAAAATCTGTGTTGATTGTTGGTAGATTAAGAAGGAAAAAACAACTTGGAAAAGTTATTTTAAATAAAATATTTTAGGTCAATTTTTGGTTTTATTTGGATGATTTGGTATTTAGGTAGCCATATTTTACATTAAAACTCTCTGAAGTCATTATTATTCCTATCCAATATTTTGGATTTTAAGGTTTTAGTCTGCTTTTTTCCTTTACATGTGGGAGGGTATAATTGCAGCTGGAAAGTTTTAGGAAACATAAAAATTCTGGCCTTGGGGCATTTTTCCTGCTAAATATTGAATTTGCAGATGCAGTTCTTGTTCTTAATGTGAATCTATAATTAACCCTGTAGACTATTCAAATTAAAGGAAGTCACACAGGCATGAAATCCACAAGGGGAAAGTTTCAGCACACTCTTAACACTGGTTTTTCAATCAAAAAGTGTTTATTTTATAATCCTACCTAACTCTGTAATGTTTTATGTTGTTGTTGTTATTTAAAATTAGTAGGAAAAACTTAATTGTGAAGTCATTTTTCCCCAGACTTAGAAAATATTTTAAAAAATAAGAAAAAATGTCGCATTTCCACCATTTATATGGGATCACAGTTGATGTTTTTGTGCATGCAATTCTTTGTTCCAAGCATGTTTCTTACAAAAACAAATTCAAACTCATTCAAAAATTAAGATTATATCAGCAACATATTCCAATGACATTAAGATAATGTGAAATGTATTTAAAGAAAAACTACAGTTAGTTCGAAAGTAAAACAATTTGGAAATTACAGTTTGGAGAATCAGTTCCATTTTAAATAATAAAACTAACTGAAAAATGTCAAAGGAAATAAGAACTTAATATATGAAACTCATATTATCAAACTCATACCGTTATAGACCAATTCCTTCCATCCTCCTTCTTCTTCTCTGCTCCCCTCAAATTCTCAAATGATAAATAGTAAAAGATTAAAAAGCAATCCATCTGTGTTCAGTATTTTCTTGGAATTAATTTCATTATAGTGATTCTTTCTTCTTCTGTAGAAGGAAGAATTTCTAAGAGAAAATCTAGAATTTCTCTAGATTTATAAGAGAAATCTAGATGATAGTTATGGAACTTGAGAATAAAGCACTCACTTTTTCCTGCTTGTATTAACCTTGAAAAGACCCATGGTGCTTTTGTCTGAGTAGATATTTGGGTTTCTTTGGATAGGATTTTTTTCATATCTAATTTGGTTCCCAAACTGCAGTGGAAAATATATTTTTCACTTACAAAAAAGAACAAACGTGTTTTGGGTAAGTTGGATTGAGAACTAGAAGACACCCAAGAACCACCAGTCATCCATGAACTGTTTGAAATACACACCCAACAAGTGAGGCATTTCTAGAGATTGTGCTTGGGACATAAAAAACTCTGGGCATTTGTAACCCTGTTATTTTCTCAGTGGCATCAGACTTTATGTCTAAGGAATCTTTCTTCTCTCACAAACTCAAGCTGAGCTCCTCCCTACAGTTCTTAAGGCATTAGGGTATATCATTTGGGGAAGTAAGTTTCCTGTGTATTCAAATCATTTTCTTTCACTATAATATCTATCTTGTTTTCATATTATTTTTGTGTAAGTCATACTTTGCTCCAAGTACATTTATCTCCATTAGGACTGTCACATTGGGAGAGATCACATTTATGTGTAAAGGCATGGGTGCCAAAGGTTGGTTTTTCATGTATGTGTGCCAAGAATAATTTTCCTCCTTCTGAAATAGACCAAGCAAAGGCATACAAACAAGAAATACAACTAGAAAATGCTCGTTTCTCCTAAATTACAAATTCCATCCAAATTTTAAAAAGAAAGAATAAAGCGTTTTTTTTAAGTGGGCTTTCTGAACCACGATGGGGCCAAGGGAGGAGTCGTTTTCCAGTCCAGGGAGGAGTGGCTACAGCACCATCGGATGTTATGTGTGTCCGACAGACAAGTAGTGTCACGAAGCTGTAAACTGTGCCCAAAATGACATTTCAGTCTGGTTTGACTAGTTTGACATTTTAGTTCTCCTTGGCTTGGCCATTTGTGAGATGTGTTAATTCCTGTCATGACATTGAATTCTCAGCACAAGCCTGCGAGATTCATGGGAGAGCTAAGCGACTGAAACGATGACAAACTGTTCACATGGTGTCAGTCAGAATGGGAACTCAGGTCTTCTCATCCTTGGTCCATTGTTCCACCCTCACCACTGTGCCACCAGAAGACTGCGGGTTGGAGTGGTCTGTGCTGTGTTCCTTAGGGATGTGGCAGCGCTTTCAAGCAGGGCTTCACGACTTTACCAGGAGTCAGGGACCAGTGTTTGGTAACTGCGAGAGTATCCCTGCAGCAAGAATATGGTGTGAATGAGTTTCTGGAAAAAAACCTAGAGGCAAAGCTGGTCAAGAAATCCTTATGAAGATTTAAACTCCTAATCCCGCATGAGCTGAAGAGAAAACACTTGCTCTGTTTGCTTTTTAACTTTCAATAGTGAAAGAAGTAACTGCAGGAAGAGCAGGCAAGGGGCGAGATGTGGACCTCAGGTGCTAAGGGGCTGAGAACCCGAGAAGAGCTCCCTGTCATAATTTCATTCCGTAAATTTGCCTAAGACTAGGCTTTGTATTAAGCGCTTATCCTGAAACCAAAATTCCTAATTGTTCTCATATGATTGTATTTCCCAGCAGGTCAATTTCACTCAAGCTTTGGGATTCTGACCCTCAAGTGTTGGGAGAGTTGAGATACCGTAAGTACCCTCTTAAGGAGAATTCTTCTTGCTTGTTGCCCCACTTAACCCCATTCACCATCAAAGACTCTGGCTGTTCAAGATTCACAGAGTAAGAGGGGCTAGATGCCTTCCAGGGCTACTTTGACAAATCTGTGCTGCTTTTCTTAGCTTTCCGTGATACAGAATCATGCCAGGCACACAGCATGGGAACTTCTCATCTCTCGTTCGGGGTTGTCCTCACTGGGCTCACGAAGAGGCTGACTGATCTAACTCCCCACTTTACAGCCACCCGGACTTCCAGGACCATCTACGGTTTGATCATTTTTTTTAATTTGTTTAGTTGTAAAAGACATATCTTTTGAAATATTCAAATGCCAAAGAATATGCCAAATGTATAAAGAAAAATATACGTTTGTCTAATTCTTCTCTCCAGAGAAAGGTGTTCTTCCTCGCTTTGAATTTCCTGCTCCCCAAACCTACTTCTCCGGACGGAAGCAGTGTGAATAGCTTGGCGCATGTTGCCGCAGACCTTGGCTAAGTTTGCAGTGCCTGGGCTCCTGTGTGTGCATGCACGTTGTATATATAGTTTTGCAACATATTCTGCTGTTCCCCTCTTCATTAATTTATTTAACATCTTTCCATGTCAGACACATACGTTTTCCCAAAATTCTAAGAATAGGTTGAAAAATATGTGGAATTATAAAACCCAGAAACGATAGTGAGGCCGTGCTGGGTGAGCTGAGCTGAATGGGAACACGAGACTTGGGATATGGGCCTATCGGAAAAGAACGAGAGAGAAAGAAGGAAAGAAGCCTAAGAAGAACGTGCACTAATAGTTCCCAGTTTCATTTTCTCAACCCAATAAAAGTCACAGGCTGCTATTATTCTCAAAACATAATGGGAAGAGGTTTGGGCCTATGTTTGCATCTGAATGTATACTTGACAATGACACTTAACTCCTCTGAGCTTCCCTTTCCTTACTCAAAAATGACTAGATTAGACTCGATGATATCTGTGGTTCTTTCCATTTCTGATTAGTGCTTTGATTTCCTGGAAAACAACCTCAAGAGCGTTGTGAGGTACAAAGTAGACTTTGTTCCAGGCTAGTGTTGGTTGTTCTCGTCCGTCTTGAATGGCAGTTCAGTAGGCCGATTACATGGATCACATTACCCTGCCATTTTAGCTTATAATACCGTCACTCTGTTTTTTAGGCTATAAAGAGTTTTCACATGCCTTATCATATCTGATTTTCAGTTATTTACTGATGTAGACTGAGCAAATATTACTTTAATCCCATTTTGTATATTAGGAATTAAGTGCAGTGTAGAGTTACACGAATCTAATTCCTACCTACATTGTCTGCGGTATTGGTAGCTGAATACACATGTGTGATTTGGATCCAGTCATCACCATCTTGCTCTTATTTGAGAATATTGTATGTGGAATGTTTGTGATAATAAAGAGTAAATATTATCTGGTAATTTGTAATACAGAAAAAAGGAGGTTTAAATTTACCAAGGAGATGTTTACCACAGATGACCATAAAGAATCTTCTGGAACATCATTAGATAAAAGACACCTTTGACCCGGTGGAACTTTGAGATTTTTCCTGATTTTGTCAGATTCCATGTTTCTGCTCCAGACTTTCCAGCTGCAAATACCTTCTTGTAGTTCTTGCTCTTTCAGGTACCCCAGGAATTTTTATTTTGCATTTCTTTGTCCTGGAATGTGCTTTTACTCTCTGTCTTTCTGTCAAACTTCTACTTATCATTCAAGCTCATGGGTTAACTGCTCCATCAATTATTTGCTCAGTGTCTTCTGCAGACATAGTTGTCCCTGTCTCTCTCTGCCACAACCTTTAAAATCCCTATTCTAGCAACCATCTCACTTCTGCTTAACCTCAACTACAAGCATTTCATAGAAAATAAAATTCCTCTTCCCACTAGTATTCCCACACCACATGGAATGTGATCCAGAGGGTAAAATATGTAGCGAGTTAAGGTAATTTTACTGAATATTATCAAATCAGGATTTTAGCAAAATTTTATTTTTAATTTCTATGTAATTCATTGGCAGGAGTTTCTCCTTACTCTACTCACTGTTTTATTTTCAAAATTTGAAGTAATTTACAAACTTACAGAAAAGATGCCTCGTACAAAGACCTTTCCTCTGAGCCATTTGAGGGTAAGTAGCTGCTCCAACGCCCCATTCCTTACTTTAGTGTACTTGAACATGTATTTCCTCATTCTCTGACTGCTTCCTTGCTTTCAGGCCTAAGAGTTTCTGGGTTCATCTTGTTTCTTTTTCTGCCCAGTCCTGTGATCGACCTTTCTGTAAGGAGCCCTTATTCTTACTAGTGCAGAATACTTTTTAGAAGCCAAGCTCCGGGCCCTATGCATGCTCTCTGCTGTTAGGGTGCCGCTGTTCCCAGGACATCCCAGGGGACAGACAGTGTTGGGGATTATTTACAACTGCTATCTATTTTCATCTGTTTGTATACAGAAAACCGTGATTTTACTCTGATATCTCCAGTTCCAACCTAACACCATGAGTTCATTCTAGTTTTCTAGTTCGTTTCTCATTTTTTTCTTTCCCCATGTTTTCAACATTCTTCCCCAACAGTGTGAGAACGGATCACGATGGTCTATTATATGTGTACTTACTTAATGAATCTCCTATGTATAGCTCATCTTCTATTTTTGATGTCATCTCTCCATCCCTCACTTTTCCTCTTGGCTTCAGATACTCTATTATTCTGCACCCAAATTTCAATATGTGGGGAGAGTTCTGCACCCGTAAAGCACGTATCACACACCAGCTGGGTGTCCTACAACTGAACTCAGTTCTGACACTACCTGTCCGGAGGTGACGTCAGATTCCAGTTTAAGGGCTCAGTCCCACAAGAAAGACTGCTTCTTCCTTCAAACGCCAGTCACAAAGTCCAGCTTGTCACTTATCTTTCTGACTCACTGGGTATAGATTAGAGATTCCAATCACTCAGAGAACTCAGGAGAAACCTTTACTTAGATCCCTGGTTTATTATAAAAGGTCTGAGGACCACCCTGATGGAAGAGATGCCCAGGGCAAGGTATGGGAAAAGAGCATGAAGCTTTCACGCCTTCTCTGATTATTCCCCACACATCTCCATGTGGAAGCTCTCTGAATCCAGTCCTTTTGGGTTAGGCATTGTTGATTAAATCATTTGCCATTGGTGAATAACTTAATCTGCAACCTCTCCTTCCTTCCAGAGGTCAGGGGTGGAGAGTTGGGGGGTGCTGGGAGAGTGACTGAAATTTTCAACCCTCTAATTACATGGTTGTTTTGCCTGGTAACCATCTCCCATCCTCTAATCTGCCCCAAAGTCACCGCAATAACCCTTTTTTCACTTAGGAAATTCCAAGGGTTTTAGCTGTGTGCCAGAAACTCAATGAAGACCAAATGTATACTTCCTATTTAAATCACACTACCCCCCCCACCCCCCACCAGATGCCCTCCTCACTGCACAGGCTCTGGCACCTCTGCAGGTCTCCCTCCACATCCTTGTTCAGCTCTGACATGCTGCTCAGGGCCACCACCAAGCAGGGATGCCTTCCTCACCCAGCCAGGCTCTGACTGTTCACACCAGACCGTCTCTCTTCACTCCCGACTCATGGATGCCCTCCAGTCCTTGCTCCATAACAAGGCCATTGCTTTGTGCGTACTCCCTCCTCCTGCAGCTTGGACTGTAACAAAGCGTGCGGGGAAGTATGCACCCCTTGTCACCCTTGGGTGCTGACATTTTGTGCTGACACACACTCTTAGCCCACTAGAGATTTAAGGGTGATTTTCCGTGTTCCCCTTGCACTCTGGACACCTTTGTCACCCTGCCTGGGCTCTAACTGTCCAGACTAAGTTTTCCTCCCTCTGGGGATACCCTTCTTTCCGGGTTCAGTCTCCGACATTCCTTGTGTGGAGATGATGACTGCCCTCTGCACATATACCTTTACTGGGATGTGCTCCACCTCATGGCTTTAGTACTGGAAGGTAGAATAAAGGGAAAAAAGGAGAAGAAGCGAAGGGATATACCATCTCTTAGATTTGCTTATTATTCCTTCCACAGGAAATGAATGCAAGAGAAAGTTTAAAAGAGGCCAATTTGCTCCTTGTTTGCAATAGTAACAAAAGATTGGCAGTGGGAAATATTTGAAGCCATTAGAAAAAGTAGTGTTTGTCATTAAATGCCCTTTGCATTGGAGAATTGAACTTTCTTTTCTGGGTATTTCATGTTTTGATTTGATAAATTACTATGAAATTAGTCATTTAGAAATAATGAGGCTGAAATGGATATTTGTTCTTCTCATCCAATTTTCTGCTTTTATTGATGATGGAATTGCATTCTGGTTAGGTCACACGACTTTCCCTAGTTTTGCTGGAGACCTAGAAAAAGGGTATTTTTCAACATCCTAGCCAGTGATCTCTTCCTTGTTATCATTCAAAATTATTTGACTTTAAAGAAAGATTTCTGAGAAAAAGAATAGCTTATATATATACACACCTTATCTTTTATATCGGAAGTTCTTTTCTTCAGGAAGGGGACTGCTAACAGAATGCCATGTTTTGGGCCCTAAAACATTATCTGAATAGTACTTTGGTGATCAAATTTTATGAGAGTGGAGTATCTGGAAATTTACCTTGCCAACTTGGTATTTAGTAATAACAGTAATTTAATACTTAGTGTGGATGAAAGAAAAGATTCTACGGAAGACCACAAATTCTTGACTGGGCAGGTCATGGTGGATAGTCATGGCCTTGCTCTACCAATGGAACAACTGGTCAGGGCCAGGCCTGTGACTGCTTTAGTAAGATGCTTATTTACCTTAATGAGGCCCTGTCTACTGTTTCTGTGCATCCAGGTTAACACATCTTTGAGATGCCTCTTTTTAGATTCCTGCTTTTAAAACATGGCCACCTTCAAGAGTGTGCACAACCTCAGTTATTCTGTAACTCCATCCCCACCTTGCTTTCTCCCCCTCCAAACATTTCCTCCTTGATTTCAAATGCATAAAAGAAGTTGCAAAACTATTACTTTCCAGAGCAATGGAGATCTTGTTTCCCAGGAATTGCCATAAGTTTTGGCTTAAATAAACTGTTGTAAAAATTATTTATTGGTTTGAAATTTTCTTATGTCAACATTAGTAGTTAGAATTTTGAATACTTCCTCTAAGTTGCATTTCTATATTATGTTAACTATTTGGTAGGGTTTCAAAGTAGGTTGATTATTACTTATTTTTCTGTTTATTGTCTTGGGGGGTTGATGGGTTGGCAAAATGTGCATACATAGACATGAATGGTTAATAAATAAAATATTGTTTAAAAATATCCATGATACAAAATTTGTATTAATTTAAACCCATTTATGTTTGTGAAAAATCCACCATGTTATCAGTGTTGCTGTTTGAGCTGGGAAGGGACAACTTGTTGGGTGTAGATGAACCATCCAGAGCAGCAATTTCTAACAGATGTGCCCAAGGTGCACTGGTGTGCCTCAACAATTTTTAAAACAGGCAATACTTTACTATTTAGTCATGCACACACTGACCTCTTTCCCCTTAGACTGTCAAATAAAAAACTGGCAACACACACGGTAGTCTGGTGATTGCCAGAGGGTGGGGGGATGGGAAAATGTAGAAGGTGAAACAAGGATAAACAGCGATGAAAAGAGACTTGACCTGGGGTGGTAAACACACAACACCATACACGGATGATATGTTATAGAATAGTATACCTGAAACCTGTCTAATTTTAGCAACCAGTGTCACCCCAATGAATTCAATTTAAAAAAAGGCCCTGGCCCAGTGGCTTGTCTGTTGGAGCATCACCTAGTGCACCAGAATGTTGCAGGTTTGATCCCTGGTCAGGACACATACCTAGGTTGTGTGGGTTTGGTCCAGCTGATCGATGTCTCTCACTCTCTCTTCCTCTCTCACTAAAATAAATAAAAACATGTTTTGGGGTGAGGATTTAAAAAAAAGAACAATACTCTCCCCACCCCCACCACACACACTAAATGACAACAGCCAACACAACAATGGCTGTTGGGTGTGAATGAATCAAAATGATACCTATTTTTTTGTCACATTGGCAAAAAATGATACACTGGTGTGCCACAGAATTTTAGTAATTAGTTTATGTGCACCATGAGATGAAAAAGGTTGAAAATCACTGATCTAGAGTTTTCATTAATTTCCAAGAATCACCTTCAGTCACTGACATCAAAACAAAAAACAAACAACAAACTATGCTTGAGAATCAGTAATTTTTTGGAAACCAGTAAGTTTACTATGTAGTTATATAAACTCAAGTTTTGTAAACAAACTATAATTACATAAATAAATATCAAACCCTCCTCACTGAGAAACTTAAAGAATATGTTATGTCGTAATCTAATTTTTATATGCTCCATAATCCTCTTTTGCACACTTCTGGGTTCCACCCAACAGGCACAAGGGGGGCGAATGCTCTCCTGACAAACCCCTCGCTACCCGTGTTACTGTTTCGAGAAAGTTACTTTTCTTTGCTCACAATGACACTGAACATTTTCCGAGGGCTCCATCTCCAGAACCATGTTGCTGAAGAAGTTCTGCCCTCACCCGTTTGCTCAGTGAACATCTGACTTTCTTGGCTTGATTCCTGAAAACAGAAATGTGAAATTCTGGATTACAGGAAGCTAAGGAGTCTTTGCAGTTGTGGGGCTGGTCGGGGCCCTCAGCACGCTGCCCGGGCTTTGTGCACCGCCAAGTGAGCCGTGGAGCAGCCCGCCTTCCAGACACTGTTTTACAACTAAGTTGGAAATTAACCTTTCATTATTTTTACTTTTCAATTACAGTTTACAGTCACAGCATGATTTTGTATTAGATTCAGGTGTACAGCGTAGTGGTTGCACAATCATATACTTTACAAAGTGTCCCCCTTACTATTTCTAGTACCCACGAATACATAGTTATTACAATATTTTCAATAAATGTCTTGAAGAGTCCTATTAATTGTGTAATTTAAGAGCTTAATGGTGACAGGCACTTACTTCTGGCCCTTGGGTAAAATAATTGCCCTTTTTGCACCAATGTAATTCTGTAGATTAACAAGTATATAGGTTTATAATTGGAAGGGACGCATCATCAAGATCATTTTGCTCTTCTCCCTCCAAGGCAGGAATCCTTCTACCACATACCCTTGGGTTTGAATCACTTTAAAAAATGGGGACCACTGGTCCTCAAAGCAGTTGTTCTGATATTCTGCAGAAACCTTCCACTTGGTAAGTTTGCCCTGTTGCTGCTGCCTTCTGCCCTCTGTAGTCAGAAGGCAATTAAACCCTCTACATATAACAGCCCTTCAGTTATGTCCACCTGGATCCTCATTCTTCTCGAATTTTCTCTCATCTCTTTCTTCCTGGGTTTATTTGAGTTCTTGTGCGAGATGAGATTCTTTCTCCTTCTCCATCTCCTTGCCCTCATCTGGATTTAGTCTTTGTTTGTTTGTTTGTTTTTTGAAATGTGTTTTAGGAGGCTTTGAACTTAACCTATGAAAGGAAGAACACTGTGTGTGTGTGTGTGTGTGTGTGTGTGTGTGTGAATGTCTCAAACAAGATGGACAGCTATTTGAACATTTCATCTACACCACTTTGGATTCTTACTGTTCTCTGGCATGCAACAGTGGATCGTGGTTTCACTTTATTTCTGGACAATTATTTCCACCAGACACAACCTTTGATCCCAAACACCGCACTCACTTGACACACACTTGTTGACTTCATACCTAAATCAGCTTTTCTTGAATCCTCATCTGAACAAACATTCATTTTAATCTGCGGATATCCCGTGCGGCGTCAGGAAGGGCCGGTTTGGGCAGTGCTGGCTCAGTGAGTCTACCACCGCGCTACAGATTTGGTTTCCTTTTTCTCCCTTGAGTTTAAGAAGACCAAAATAAATAAATAAATAAATAAACAAACAAAAAATTCTTGCTAATAGCTTAGACAATGCAAGGGGTTCCAGACTCTATTCCAGGAAGCTGGTTTCATCAAGGTAACAAAGAGACCGCAGAGAGCAGAAAGAAGGCTAGGAGTCACCGACATGGAGGTGTCATTAAGGTAACCCCCTGGAGTGGGGGAAGGGAAGGGATGGAGAGCCGGCAGAGCGGCGCTGGGAAAGCGCAGGAGAGGAGGGAAGGCAGGCGGCCCGGCGCCCCGGCGTGGACGCATGGGAGTTCAGGCGGGAGGGGGAGAGTGTCACCACGTGCTGCAGAGGCGGGGACAGGGTCATCCTCCTCTTATCTGAAAGGGTGCAGGGCTGGACAGAAACAAACAGGCAGGCAGGCGAGGTGAGAGGTTAGCAGTCTAACCGAGTCCTTCCTGCTAGCTGGCTTAGAGCTGAGATCTGGGATAGGGAAGGTCCCATTTAGGCGCTGGCACATTTCATCCCTCTTAGTTTGCTCTGCGGGAATTCGGCAGAAGGACAGGAAGAGGAGACGGGGTTCCACAGCGAGTGCAGTTTTCATTCTTAAGAACTGGAGGTAGTTTAGAGCTTTATATCCGGGAGGAGCCTGTGTCACCACACTGTAAGCAAATCCTGGGACGCTCGCAAACCCGGCTACGGGGCAGTTGGCCCCATGCCCGGCTGGGAGTTGGAGGGCTCCGGCCAAGCAGTGCTCAGGGGTCCGGCCGGCGGGTGACCCAGTGGCCTTTATCTTTCCCCCTTTGTCCTCTTTATCTCAGGCTCTGCAGGAGGACTGGGCGCCCGCTCTGCCTATCGCTTCTCACCCGCAGCTGCACGGCTACTTCAATGCTCCGCAGATCGCGGGCTGCTGCTCTTTCAAAGGCGCCGGAGGACCAGGGGCGCCTCGTGGCACCGCTGACTCGGCCGCGCGCAGAAGCCTGAACCGCGCGCCCTTGGGCACCAACGCTGGTGCGCCCAGCGCGTCCCTGTGCGCTTCAGCCAGCTTTGGGCCCACAAAGGACAGCTTGGGCCAGGATGGCCCCCGGACAGCTGGTGGCTGGGATCTTGCTGCTGGCGGCGGCGGGCCTCGGAGGGGCTGCGGAGGGGCCCGGGCTTGCCTTCAGCGAAGACGTGGTGAGCGTGTTCGGTGCGAATCGGAGCCTGTCGGCGGCGCAGCTCGGGCACCTGCTTCAGCAGCTGGGAGCCGCCACCGCGGAGGGCGCCCCGCAGCTCGCGCAGCTGCACTTCAACCAGGTACGGCGCGCGTCCCCGGCTGTCCTTAGGCGCTGGTCTGTGCCTGAACGCTATTTACGTGGGCAAAGTGCGGGGGAAAGGATTTCTGTGCGTTTTTCGAGTATGAACGGTGATTGGTGGCACTTGATTTTCACCGGACCGGGCTCCTTAGCCGAGGTTAAAGGGCTGGAGGGGGTTCAGGAAGACAGAAATTGCAGCTTTGTGCTTGCTGAGCTGAGAGATAAGACGCTTGGGAATATAAGGTTTTGCAGAAAAGTTCATGAAGTAGTTAAGGCGGGAAGCACCTTAGGAAATGCAGTTTTTTTTTTTTGGCGTGTGTGTGTGTGTGTGTGTGTGTTTGTTTTAAAAGGTAGGAATGGTGTACTTAAATCTTCCCAGCAAAAATAACGAACCGCTCACATGCCATCCTTGTTAACAGTTGCTCTGTGGGTAACAACTGCCAAGGAGATGTAACGTGGTTCTGCCTTTCCTGTGTACGTTACACGAGGCATTTAGACCCGAAGGGACTTATTGTACACAGAACAATGAAGATTACAACTGTTAGTAAATTTCGAAACGGATAGTCTAGGTTGTTATTTACATAGGACATATTTTATTTCTTAGAATTCTGGAGGAGGCAAAGTGTGCTTTCTGCATCCTTCCCAAACTGCCCCCGCCCCCACTGTTTGAAACTGCTAACTCGGTGCTTGATGTTTTCCCTTCTGTTCTTGTTCCAGAGAGAACTGGTGATGAAGAGCAGTAAGCGACATTGTCCACATTGTTCTTCATTTCTGGCCCATGTTAGTGTGTGTTACAAAAAGTTTTTGTGGTCCGAGATGTTTGGGGAATGTTGCGTGCACTCCACTCTTGGAAATTTAGCGCCTCCTAATGTATCTGACCTTAGATTACTGTTAGGGAAACTTGAATGGGATGGACTCCTTGCTAAGAATACTATAGATAGATGGATATTCTTTTTGTCAGAAATATCTCACCTCAGTTCAAACATATTATACTCACGGAGAAATTCTGATGCTGCGGGGTATCAGAGGGTGACCTCCCTTTAACTAGAAGGGAGGGTTTTGTGTTTCACCTTTTCAGGCTCTTTAATAAAAGAGCAGTTTTAGCTCTGGCATGATTTAATAAAACATTTGATTTAATGTCTAAGAAATATGTTGGCAAAACTGAAATCCCCACGTATTATATATTGATATTTTGGAAAAGAAAGCAAAGCAAACAACTTCCTAAGTATTTTCTGTCTAGTTGCAATCTCTCCAAGTAGAGGAAACAGCTGAGCTAAGATATTTCTAGGTAGGAGTAGGAGTGGTCATGTGTTTGGAAAGAAGCTGGAGGCTTGACTTGCAGCTGCAAATCCGTACCCCACACATTGTTTGCACTTACTTATCTTTTTTTACCTTGCAGTGTCTGGAGGAGTTGACCAATTATAGACAAAAGATCCCTGAGCCACTTCTTGGTAAAGACACTGTAAAATATGTGTGAATTACTTTGAAAAATTGGTTAAGTTTATTAGCAATATGTTTCCCCTTTTGTAAGTAGGATTTCTCAGTTGATAAATTATATATATGTTGACACCTTGTTTCTCATTCTCAAATTTGGATATTTAACTACATTTGTTGTGGCCTCTGTGGGCATCAGAAAGAGACAGGAAGAAGCCTATAATGACTTTGGAAATAAAGGGAAGCCAGGGACAACTTATCATTTAACCAGGCCTAACAAACAACAATGTGATGTTCTAAAAAGTCCTGATGAAAACAACAATCATCCAACAAGATGTCAACAAATGAAATAGATTCTGGAAGAATCTATTAATTTGCTAGCAGGAAACCACCCAAGTTGGAGCAGAATTTAGGGCCATTATTGCCTGCATACTTTAAAGAATGCAACTGGAATTCCCTCACCTGTGACAAAGTAGAATAAATAATGTATGGGCCTGTTGTGAGAAGCTTGATTTTTCGACTTTGAAAAAGGCCCAGAAAATGGAACTTATTTCTATGACTCAGGGATTTATTGAATTTTCTCTGAGATCTATTTTACAAATGACATTGTTCCTTTGGATGAGGGCTGTGATATTTCTGAGGTCAGCTTTTCTCAGGTCATAAACTACTGTACTCTGGGTGTTTGTTAAAGAATTTGGAAGGTCTTCTAATATTCTTAAAGTATTCCTAAGTCCTATTAAATTAACTCATTGCTTTGGGAGACCAAAGTGACCTAAGGTCAAACTGATGACAATAGAACCATTGAGCTTATTGTTTTGCTTCAGGGCTATGTGGGTGCAAAGAGCAGGTAGAAGCAGTGACTGAAGCAGTGAGAAGAGAGAGCCCTTTTAGTTCAGTGGGTCTGGGAGGCGCTGGGGTGTCAGTCTGATCTGTGTCAGGGAGTTAGTTCCACAGAATGCACAGGGAAGCCCCAACTAAATGCATACGCTGGGTGATTAATTTGGGCCATTTAAATGGCTCCAGTGCTTGTTTATTCAGAAGTTCCTTTCTCTTCAGATTTTCTCTTCATGTCCTCTTCAAAACACCTCACTCTTAAGTTCCTACTGTAGATGCCGATTAAATAGCTCAATAAAAAGCATATCCTCATTCTCCAAATTATCATACTAAACTAATTAGAATAAATCAGAAGGCCAAGGAGTGTTATTGGGGTGTTGGAGAAGTGGGCCTGGCTGTGGTAGGTTGGCCTGTGAGGCAACCTTTGTTTCACACCATCTCTTATCCTCACACTTTGCTTCTCTATCTTAATGCTCTTTTTTCTTTCAATACATATCTTGCAGCATATTTCCTGCATCTTTTGTTCTTCTTCACTTGCTTGTCTACACCTTGTTTGTACACTTCTTTTAATTCATACTCAATCTTCCTAAAGCAGTACTTGGAATATGTCTCTCTTCTTTCAAAGCTGCTCTGCTGGTGAAGTCTAGATCCTGAGCCTGGCATTCAAGGCCTTGCACCTAAAGGATGACACTGAGCAGTCTACCCACCCAGACCTAGCACTCACTAAACGGAACTGTTTGCTCTTCTGTGAATTCACTCTATATTTTGTTCAACTACTTCTTAGCTTGTTACCTTCCTTGCATGCTTCATGTTTCCAACTGGGATGTCCTTCTTTTCCTTGAATTGCCCTATTGAAATCCTATGCTTTTAATTGCCCACCTATCCTTTGCCCCAACTTCTGCACAAAACCTTTCCAGGGCATCAGAGCCAGCACCGGTAGCCTGTTTTCTCTCTGTTTTTGAATAACTGATGTGTTTTTTTATTATGCTAATGACACTTAATTATTCTTGTGTTGAACAAATATTTTGAATGACTACTGTACTCTGGTTAGAGTGGTCATTTTAAGGTACAAATCTGATCATATCACTCATCTTAGTAAAACAATTAAATTCTCTCAAGATAAATTTCAAGTGCTTTAATGTGGCTTAGCCCTTTCATGATCTGGTCCCTAAATATTTCTCAAGACTTCTCCTTTGCCACTACTCCAGTCTTAATGGACTGCCTATAGTTTTTGGTTTTCCATATACACTGCTTATGCTTCAGGTATTAGTTTAGACATTACTTTTTCTGAGAAGCTTTTCTTGGTCTGCTCAAGGGTTTAGTAAGAACCCCTTCTATGTGATCCTATATGAATTAGTGCCTTTGCAGTTCTAACATATTATATGTTGTAATTATATTACAGTATATAAATAATTTAGCATGCATTACAACTTTTTGTTTATATGGCTGAAACCTCCCTACTTCCTTACCTCTATGATTTTAAACAAATTAAAGGGAATGACCTAACTTTTCTCTCTAGGGGCTGGTGTATTGCCTGGTACTAACGTGTATTCACTATATATATTCTGAATGAATGAGTGAAAATTGCTTAATATGAGTAAGATAATTTGGCCCTCACATGACTTTACAGTTTATTGGAGGAGGTATAACATAGGCACATACAACTATAATGCATGATAGAATGATATATCTAATCAAAGAATTACAAACAAAAGTGGAATGGGATCAGACCTGAGTTTTCAGAAAATTTATCTTCATGAGAATATGGAAAGTGTTGGAGAGGGTGCAGACTAAGGAGGAGATTGCAGTGGTTTGCATGAGTGAGATGTAATGATTGCTTGAACCCTTAGGTAGTCAGGAGTTGGCGTAAAGGCTCTGCCTTCTCCAGGAAGAGCAGGCATGGCTGAAAAGCAGGCAGAAGAGCCCCAAGTAAATGTTTTTGCTTCAGTCTTTTGCCTGCTGTTTTCCTTTAACTGTTGTTAGATCTTCTTTACTAGCTTCTGGCCCCATGACACCAGAGGGAGAGGCAGTGAGGTAACTCTCAGCTTATTTCAGTTTATTATGACCAGGCTAATGCTATGTAGCAAACAGAAGGGGTGTGTGTGTGTGTGTGTTGGGGTCATTACACATACATTGTGTGTATAGCTTGTTGTTATCTACTGTATTTTTCCTGGTGAGTTGATAATGGATTAGATGAGGGAGGTTCAGGGAAGTACTGACCATGAACAGAGCAGAGAAAGAGCATCTGGTCTCTTTTAGATTTTATGCTCTGGAAAATGGCAGGTACACCTTCTAGGAATGCCTTCTAGTCTGCTTGTTCAGGTGAGAAACTGGGGGAGTGGGTCAGAAAGGTGGGACAGAAAGCTGAGGCTGCACTTAGGTCTTCGGTCACTGTTTCTTCAAGACATTGGACCTGCTCTGATCTGTTATATCATTCTCATTTAGGTTGACTGTGTATAGTGCAATTATTGTTTCCAAGACGTTTTGGGGATATGAGGGATACTTGTAAATCATTTCACTATAATGATGCCCAAAGGTGGGGAAAAAGTGTAATGGCCACCACAGGGAAAGGTACCTTCAGACCATAAAACAAAGCAGGCTACCCCATGGACTATAACAGAACTTATTAAACGGCAATTTGCTTAGGGAAGATTGGAGAAGAAAAGATGACCCTGCAGTCTGCGCAAATTATTCTTCACTAACAGACCGCTGCCACAGTGCTTTTTAAAAATG